GTGTGTGTGTGTGTGTGTGTGTGTGTGTGTGTGTGTGTGTGTGTGTGTGTGTGTGTGTGTATGTGCGTGCGTGCGTGCTGGACAAAGATTTAAATTTTTTTATCGCTATTAATCTCAAATTAATCTCTATTTTGCATTAATCAAGATTAATCTCAAATATTTTCTCAAATATTTTATTAATCTAATTTAATCTCATTAGTATGCGCAAAATTAAATTATGACTCAAAGATGTTTAGAACATTTTTAAGATACTGTTTTATCTATAAAAAAAAAAGCAATTAATTAAAAAAGCAATTTTTAACAGCAGTGTTCTCCTAACAATTAAAGTATTTCTAATAACATAAACATGAACATATCAAATATGGAACCAAAGCTATTTGCCATGGTAAAATGTTTTTAGTTTATTTTAGAGAGAAAATTTTTAAAAATCAAGAAAAAATTTAGCCTGGCTGTGGCTGCAGTCTGGTGCTTGGCTGGGGGTCTGGGCTGTGGGGGGCTGTGGGCGGGGGGTGTATTGGGGGCTCTTGCTCAGGTGGCTCTGCACTGCTGCCCGGGGATGTCTGGGCATGTGCCCTCCCTTGCGTGGGGTACTGTCATTGTGGGTGTTGCTGTGGTGGACAGGTTGGTCATCTTGTGGGGGTGCGCTCTCGGCTGTCGTGGTTCGCTATCTGCGGCTGTTCGGGCACGCTTGGCTGATTGTCGCTGCTGGAGTTTGGTGGCTTCTTTGGTCGGGGGGCTGAGTGTTGAGCTGAGGATTGGTTGGGGGGTCTAGACGATCTCGGTGGTGGTGGTGGGGGGGGGGGGTCGCTGGCTCAGGTTCTGGTTGGTCCTCGGGGCTATGTGCCGGTCCATGGCCTGGGTCCCTGGTGGTGCGGCTGCCTCCTGCTCCTAGATGGATGTACTGGAGCCTCCCTCCCCTGGTGGATCTCGGAGAATGGGGGTGCCTATTGGGCTCAGTGGGGGGAGCTAGACCCCTGAGAGGGCATTGCCACCTCAGTTGTTTCTGCCCATCCCGACATCTTCCTCTGCCCACTCCATCACACCACCACTCAAGCAGGGCCTTAGGGTTCAGGTGGGTGGGGCGCATAGACGGCCCGACAGAGGCTCTGTCGGGCTGTCTCTGTGTGCCTGTTTATGTCTCAGGTTGGGTTTTATGTGGTCCCTTCTCTTGGATCAGTTTTGGCCCCCATTTGGTGTGTCTTGCTCCTCTCCGGTGGTGGGCTCCCCGCCTCCGGTGCATTGGCAGCTCTCAGCAGCTGGGGCTGGGTGGTGGGGTGTGTGCGGGCCCACCCTGGTGGCTGCCTGCCAGGGCCTGGGTGCCCTGACTCTGTCGGGCCTTTGTTGGGGGGTGGTATGACCTGGGAATTGGGGCTCCGTGTCCATGGCCGGATCGTCGCAACAGCCTCCTGGGATTTCTGCATTGTGGTTGCTGGGGATCGCCCGGGGCTTCCCTTTGCTTCTCTCTCTGAGGGGTAAAGGTGTCCCTGTTGGGGGACTCCCGGAGTTCCGGGCTTGGGGGCTGCTGTGTGTCTGTGGTTCCGGTCTTCCCTGTGTTACCATTGTGTCCTGTGGGGACGGGTCTGTGGGTCCCCACATCCACTATTGAACATTTTTATGGAGAAACCTTATAGTGACAAGTGTAGTGAACTAAGCCTCAGGTCAAATCTGGCCCTGAGGGCCTTCCTGGGACAAGAACTGTCATTTCATTGATTTGAGTCCAGAAACACAAAATTAAGTTCATCCAGAGACTTTCTAAGTGTGTCCTGCACTGATCAATTGAAAGAACACTCTCTTTTTTATTATCATTACTATTTTACAAATGTCTTGATAATCAAAAGTGTGTTTAGTTCAAACCATTTTAAATGTTGAAGTGAACTACTCATTTTAAATCAACTGTGAAACAGTATAAATGATTTTTAATCCTCATTCAAAGTAGAAATCAAGTTAATGTTTGTTACAAGAGTAATTATGCATTTTGATTTTCTGTCTGAAATGAGCAAGTTGTAAGTCGGTCAAAAGTCAAGTTTCGGTCAACTACATGTTTACTGGAAAGAAATGTCATGTTTAACTTTTTCAGACAGATATGAGGGAACTGGCTCCAAAAGTCTCTGTTTCTTCAAAACATCTTTTTGTCTGTTCTTAAACAATCTAATCTTTTTCCTTGACTTTTAATAACCTCTTACATCACTAAGACCAAACCCCTGTTGGGTCTATCGACCAATCAGGAAGTTCTCAGAGGAACCAGAACTGAACTCTTTAAAAGGGTCAACACTTCCTAGTTCTCAGAGAGCAGCAGAGTTTAGAATGCTGGAGAACAACGGGAACTAAGCTGAACAACGTTCCAGGGAGGACCTCGAACGAGAAGTCCCTGAACGAGAGAAGTTCAGAGGAACAATGAAGAAGTCTGTTCTGGGATGATCTCATGACTCCTGCGGTTTTAGCTGTTCTTACGGAGACGCTGGAAAGAGTTGAAAGGAAACTCTACACCGACGCCGAAGCTGTCATCTGCAAAGGTAAAGAGTCGATCTCAACCAAAGTGTACCGTGGGTTAAGCTGCATCCAAAAGGAGTGTGTTGTCGTTCTGGTCTACAGACCTACATCTTATACAGACACATACATCTTCACCCATCTCTCTCCATTTAAACTCCTTCATTTCCCATCTTTAAAACTCTTCTATCTGCCAGTAATTAATCCAGATATTTTCAGAAATGTCTGTTGTAAAGCTTAACCAAGATACCATGGCCGTATGGTTTCTGCTTGTAAAGCTAATTAATTAAGCTGTTGTTGAAATCAATTTGCCAAATTAATGTAAATGTTTGATGTTAAACTTTGATTCTGTTAATAAATGACCGCATTCATTTTGATGGGTCAAAGAAAATTAATGTCTCACGTCACATTTAATCGTTCAATGCACGATAGAACTCAGTCCAGAAAAATGAAAGAATCCGTTTAATTTATGAATAATATCTCACAGATATATGTTCATTTACACAAGCATGCTCACACAGGTGTTTAGATTCAAGTGTTTGTCAGATACACACTCAGCTGGGTTGTGGTGGCCACTAAATATATCCTGTATTACCATGTACTGTATAAAATAATTTATAATGATGTTATAAGTATCATTATCTATGTTGTTTGTTGTTGTGGTTTCTCGGTTTTGTCTTGTTTTTTTTTTTTTTTCTGCAGGTCTAGAGGCAGACTTTATTGATAATGATTTGTGTTCTCAACACAAATCATTATCATTATCTGTGAACCCTACCACGGATGTCCATCAAACTGCCTGAACTGATCACATTGACAAATTTGCCAACAGGTGCCCTGGGATACTGTGTTTTCAACAATGGTACTATTTCTGTAGGATCGGTGCCCTGGAATATATGTGAAAAGGTGTATACCTTCTGTGACATCGACCAGCCACACAAAGGTAAACCTAATTACCTGAATTGTGTTTTTTGCAAAGCAGGCTATTATGCCAATATTCAGGGAATCCCCAGACACCATTGCACTGAATCAGACGATGTCACCGATTGTACAGATCTCCTCCACCAACGGATCTTCAACATCAGCCTACCAACAAGAGGACGCCAGAAGACCACCCTCTGCATCATTGCAGTGCCAGGTGACAAAGGTTCTCGCGTGTTA